TTGGCACACTCGTCTCCAAGGGTTGGCGCCCTCTGCGCAGTATCGAGTTCATGTCGTGGGACGCCGAGGAGTACAACATGATCGGCTCCACCGAATTCGTCGAGCACAATGACGAACTATTGCGACAAAACGCATTTGCTTACATCAACCTCGACTCTGCTGTGGCAGGCAGCGAATTCCACGCTGCGGGATCGCCCGTCTTTAAGCAAGCTGTCCTCCGCGTAATCGATCGTGTCTTTGATGCGGGCCTGAATGCGACAGTCCGTGACCTGTGGAACCAGCGGGAGGGTGACCTGGAAGAGCTTGGAATGGACGGCGACTGGGTTCCCTTCCAAAACATTGCCGGCACCAGCTCTCTCGATCTCGGCTTCAGGGGCGCACGATTCCCCGCGCAATCCAGCTACGACAACTACGAATGGGTTCAACGCATCGGCGACCCAGAATTTGCGTACCACGTCATGATGGGCCAGATTGTCGGCCTCTTGATCCTAGAGCTCGCGGACAAGCCCATTCTACCATTCGACATGGTGGGCTACAGCGAGCGCATCGAGCGCTACATCAACGACCTGGCCAACTTTTGCGAGCACATGGGCGCTGGTACGCAGGACAAATTCTCGCTGGAGCCCCTCAAGAAGCTCATTGCGGAAACCAAGGTCAACGTCAAGGGCTTCTCTATGTGGGAGATGACATGGGAGAGCACAGTCATGGGCGGTGGCGGCTGGGAGTCGGGCGATATGGGAGACAAGCGCATTCAGTTCAACAACCACATGGCCGACTTTGAGACGGCGCTGCTGGACCTTGAACAGGGTGGTGGTGTAAGTTTTATCTCTTCCCTCTTCCGTGACATGCTATCCGTGTTTTCTGATTCAATTGCTGACGAATGTGTAGATCCCCGATCGCACCCAGTTCAAGCACGTCATCTTTGGGCCCCAAGCCTGGTCCGGCAACAAGCCCGTCACGTTTGCCGCCATTCGCGACGCCGTTGAGGCCGGCAACTGGGAGCTCGCGAACAAGCTCGTCGAGAAGACGGCGCGCATCATCCAGAACGCGACAAATGCGTTATCTGAGGGGGGGAAGGCTGCAGAGAGCAGCTGATCGCACCATCACTCCCATTCCCATGTTGGGCTTTTTCTTTTCTGTGTTTCGATACGACGATGGGGTGTGTGTTTTACCGCATTTTTTTGAATGCAATTTGAAGAAGACACATGTACGAAGGGGGGCCACTTGCTCCTATTCCCTTTTTTGTTTCTTTTCGTCAACTCCGTTCAAAAAATTCCATTTGGAAGATCTTCTGGGGTATGTCTATGCGCGCCTCGCCGCGAAAGCCTGCTGCCAACTCTGTTCTTGTGTTTTCTGGCATTGCAAGGAGTTTAGGGGGGATTTCTACCACACAAACAACCATTGTTCCGCAATTCTTTCATGTCCCAAAGGTACGATAGTTGAAACCTTTAACACTGCCGCGATCTTGTAGCGGAACGTGTGATTCGAGACTGTGTTTTGCCCGTGTTTCATCGTGATGATGTTCCGTGTGTCGTGATGAATATCATCAAGCTGTCTCACCCTTCTTTTGACTCGGACCTACACTTTTTTTTGAAGACGTGACGATTGTGGCGAGGGATAAGAAGTTCGATCGCTTCACTAGAAATGAGGTAAGGTAGGAAGAGAAAAGGCACGACACACGTATATACAATCAAGGCCACAAGCCACATGCAAAGCTTTTCCACCGTCTCTCTGTGCACGACCACATCCACAGATTTCGTCTTGTTCCAATTCATTGCATGCGCTTATCGTATAAACACGTTTTTTCTTGACTCTCTCTCACACACACGCAACCCTCTCATTTCCTTCTGCTCCAATCTCCAAACCTCACTCAACTAGGTTCTTCTCACAAACCCGTGTCGGCCACTACTTCCGTCGCCGCTAATTAAGAAACATCCATCTGTTCCCTCTCCATAATCCCTTCTTTCATTCTCCCTGCTCTCGTAAAGTGTGTCGTCATGTGGTGATTGGAGGAGTGCCTCCCGTCTGCTTCAAGAACGGGTCGACAGGTTCCAAGTACCGGTGCTTATTTCGGGTACAGGACAATGCCATCGTACTGCCGCCCCTTGATACTTTCGAGGATGTGGTAAAAGTGTCGCTTGCTGTTCTCGACCGAGGCCGAATCCTGCTGATTGCCGGCGAGATTGGAGTGGATGAGCTCAATGAGGCCGTTGAGGTATTTGGTGGTGACCTGTAGCCCAGTCAGTACTCGGGAAAAACAATGTACAAAAGCAGTGAGGGGGCTTACCGCCGCGTTTTGCTGTTCAAAGTAGTAGACGTATCGGTCGAGGATCTCAACAAACAGCTCAATCGATGTCGCTGTCTCCATGCAAGAATCTGCAACGCGCAGTGCTCTCTGAAGACACTCAAGCACTCTCTTTCCATCGCGGTACAGCTGCAACAGATTAGCAAATGTCGGTTGGTTGTGTATGTAGCCCAGACTTACCCCAGTTTCGTCGGCCTCGCCATTGACAGCCATTGGCGTGGCCCACCACAGGTGACTAGCGAGGTAGACAGCACGGCACTGGTCGGGCTTTCGCAGAAGCTTGCTGCCGTGCTGAGCGCACTTGGTGATGAGAGTGTCATAGTTCTCCTTGCCAAAGTTTCTTGTTTGGTGCAGCGCTGTGGCAATAACGCAGACGGCTTGGAACTGCGCCTTGGAGTCCGAAATCGCCTCCTCGTAGACGGTGAAGGCTTGAGCGAAGAACTCGTAGGCCACTTCCTCAAAGCCCGTCATATCAGCCGTCTGACCGGACGCGCAGAACAGGCGCAGTGCGAGCTCCGCCGCGCCGGCTCCGTTGACACGGGTGTATAGAGTGCTCAGAGCAGAGTGCATAAACTTGAAGAGGGCGTTGCTCTGGGTCTCCCAGTTGTCCTCGTAATGTTCGCGCGTCTTGAAGCGTCTTGCAAGCTTCATGCAGGCAGTGATGAGGGGCGGTGTCGTCGTACGGATCCTCTCGTTGCCTTCAGAGTAAGCCTTGCGGGTCATTTGCAATAAACGGAATTGTGTGTCGTTGTCTTCGCCATTAATGAGATGGACAATTCTGGCCAGCCAACCTTGTTCCTCCATAGTCTCGTCGGTCTCGACAGCCCGGCGTTGTGCAACACCTGGGTAGTTAGACGGTGTTTGGGAGCCCTCCTTAATGAGCACCTTCAAGACCTCCAAAACATTTTCCATCTGGCTAGGGGTAGAGATCCTTGTCTGGTCACGGAGTAGAGTGCGAGCGACTTCACCAGCAACGGCGCGGCGAGTGGGATACGACTGTGACTGGAAAAGAGGAACGTAGGTAGGGAGAGAGAGCGCGGTGAAGATGGAGAGGTAGCGGTTGAGAGGCGCTTGCAGCAGGGCCAAGAGACTTTGCTGTGCCGGGGGGGAATGAAGGTCGGCATTGTTTGCGTTTTCCCGGACTTTGATCGTGGCATACTCAAGAATTTGGTTGACAAAGTCTAGCCTCTCGGGGTAAATGTTGAGTGCCAGGTTTGTCAGTGAGCAGAGCAACGCTATTGTGTCTGGGATAGGGAGATGCTGCGCATCCACCAAGTTTTTGACTTGGCTGAAGAAAATCTCGTAGAGCTGCACGTTCTCCGGGATTCCCTTCTCTGCATCAGCCCCTTCTCCGTTGACGGCAGTCGCCTCAGTGTCGGCAATCGAAGGAGCTGGCTCTTCTGGCGGGGGTAGGTCCTCTGCGGCGCGGGCTTCGTTTTCGCTGCTCTCGTGCGCGGCACCGTTTGTATCGAGGTCAAGGGGCTTCCCATTCTCGTCCACACCGGAGCCTGGCGCACTTGATGCCTTCTCGGCCTGCAATTTCGTCTTCTCCAGCAGAGCTGATAGCGCCTCCTCCTCCTGCTTAGCCCGGTCCCCTTCTCCCTCATCCTTGGATTCGCGTTCGGCGTAATCTGACAAGCGGTCCATCAGACCAATAACAATGGCTTTTACATTGACATGGGGATTCAGGCGCGAAACGGCTCCGAGGAATTGGTCCAGAGTGTGTAGGTGGAAGTCGTCAGGGAAGACCTGGGTGATGACCTCGAGCAGGTACTCCTGTGCCAGGACATCGCGGCATTGCACAACCTGCTCTAGCAGAGGCGCAAGAATGCCCGACTTGTACGTCTCCAGATCCACGAGTTGGCTCAATCGGACGATATTACTTCCAACCAGAAGCTGGAGCTCCTTCCGCTCTCTCGTCCGTTGTTCGCGCTCGCGGGAGTGGCCTTGGTGTTGCAGCCGGACCCAGAGCTTGTTCATCTCGACAAAGTTGGTGAGTATGAAGTTGATCGAGTCGGACAAGTTGCCCTCGGGACCGTCGCCGTCACCCGTCGGTAGGTAGTCTCTGGCCTGGCCGGAAAGGTAATATCTGAGGAACAGGCCGCGAATGGGATGCTGCACGCCCCTGCTCATATCCATCATATCCTTCATGAGTTCCTTGACAGGCGCGTCGGGGATGGACATGTAGGCCGTGCCGACGGTGATCATGAGGTACAGACGCGGGATAATGTTACCGGCATACTGGACGAGCTCGTACAGGTCGGCGAGATGGTTGACGGGGTGGTTCTCTCGGAGATGGACGGAGAGGTAGCGCAAGGCGTCAAAGACAGCCATATACAGCTCATAGTACTGCTTCGGGCCCAGGCTACTCGTGCGCAGCTCGGAAACTAGGGTAGAGCTGGACGAGGTGCATCGGACTGTTAGTCTCAACCATTGAAGCTTATCGGGGGCATCGAGAGAAGCTGCCTAGGAGCTCCCGGGAATCCGGGGAACGGGGATGACGTACCAGCACTTGAGGGCATCCATGAGCTTGCTCGGCGTGTCGAGGCATTTGCGCATGAGGGCCGTCTGCTGGCGCACCGCGACCAGGGCATCCTCCAAGAGGCGTGCCTGGTCTTCCGGCGGCACAGGAGTCGCAGACATATCGAAGTCGAACCGGCGGGGTAGTTATCGATCGAGGCGACGTATATGATGCTCAGTTGTGGCTCATTGATGAAGAGGACAAACGACAGAGTCGGAGTGGATCGATTGCAGTCGGAATAATTGCGCGATGGATGAGGGCGCAGATGTCGGAGGTGTGTCGTCGGCGCACGCGGCTGCGAAAAGGGTTGCGAGGTGAGGTCCCGGGGGGTTCGTTGGAAGGCTGACGATGGAGTCCCGTCAGGTTAAGCTGGCTCGAGGCGAGTGCTAAGGACCGACTAGGCAGTGCTGCGGTGCTGTGCGATGCGAGCTCGGTGGACTGAGCCGTGGCTGGAGCAGTGGAGTGAAGGCCAGACACTGGCTGGCGTGGACGAGAAGTGGAGACTGTCCCTTTCCATTCTCTTGCGACTTGCCTGTGACGTGCCCGCCAGTGGGAAGTCGGAGAATCGAGCTGCCTGGAGGAGTGATTATGTAAGGCGGTATTATGTAAGACCTCATCCATCGAAAAGGGCGATAAGATAAGAGGGAAACACGCCTCAGGGATTCATTCCATGGGACCGGTTGAAAATGCAGTGAAAGCGAGACTCAAATTTGGAGTACTACATACGTAGTAGTCTTTTCTCCATGGTTCAATTGAACCCTTTGGATGGGTTAAAAACGCAGTGAATTTGAGGCTCGGCGTGCTTAGACAGGGATTGGTACTCGTCGGTACCACCCTCCTAGGTGGTGATTGGGGGAGTCGTCCCCCTTTCGTTGATGTCAGTAGAGTGTCTTTATTCTCCAGGCTGAGCTGCGTATGGCTTCTCCCCGTAGTATGCCTCTCTGTTCATCACATTGCACTCTCCGTATGCCTCAGTCCGGTTGCACACTCGAAGGTGAAAGTACTACGCAATCAAAGTAATTCCACCCATAGCCGACGCGATAAAGCAAGCAGGCTTCAATCATGTAGTAGTATCCTTAGCCGGAAGGAATCCAGGGCGACTCACTCAAGTAATCCTTCCTCTGTACCCGGTCAACTTCTGCTACATATTGGATATTCTCTTTCTTACTTAGGCCAACGAGCCTACTTCTCCCTATCCAAGGTAGTGGAAACTCTTGCCACTCGAGCCTCGACTCTGGACTACGGACTCTGGACTGCGCAAGGAAGTTTGACCAGGATCTCGAACAAACGTTGGCGCGTTGGAAGCAAAAGTTCTGTCTTGGACCAAGGGTCGCGGTATTACAGGCCAGAGTTCCGGCCAGCGCCCCCCGCCTTGGCTGCATCAGCCTGTGGGCTCAACCCGATCTCCGCCTCTCAACAGCACACAACCAACCTGACCTCTTGATGATCACAACGGTCAGAAGCAACGATAACATCACCAAAGAACAACAGTCCCTCTCATATGCCATGCGTCAGTTCATTGATTCGTTTGAGGTTCTCTCAGCAGCTGATTCGTACACTGTCACATGCTTGTGCAATATATCCCTACATTCAGGATGCCCCTCTGTCAATTCGCATCTTCACCCACCTCAGATAATACCATACCGTGTGCTTACTCCCTACCCGTGTGCCATTGCTGCATCATGCAGGATATGTGTGTTCGTGAACCCCTTTCTCCAACAAAACGCCATCCAAATTCAGACAGTACTCCGCATACTCTCCATTTTTGCTCCATCCCCGCAATCAGTGGGCTCGTGTCTATACTCACCCGATTTCCCGAGTGGGAAGGCCGAAAAAGCAGCCGAGAATATCCAACATCCACTACCTCCCAATGGTCTCAAGCTGTGAGGGACACAGCCGTAGCAGGAAGCCCACAGTCCGTCTGGAGATACTCAACAAGCGCCGTGTCAATTGACGCTGAAAATGCAGCAAACAACAGTGTTGCCGTCGTGCCGGGCGCAGGGAGATGTCGTATCCTCGGCACAATCTCCAGCTGCTCAATCCCCTCGACCTTGGCCAGCTCAGCGACCCACTCCATGCTATCGTGCTTAATGAGCGCCAGCAACCTCAGATCTGAGACGCTCAGCACCTGCGGCCCCTCCCACGCCGCCGTTGGTCTTCCGCCCTCCACGATGATACGCAGCCTAGGTATCGCCTTATCCAGCCGGCGGAGGTAGGTGCACATGGTAGCCCAGTCCAGCCGGTCACTCTCACTATTGCAGTGCATCACAGGCCCGTCCTTGCGGATGGTAAGCTCCTGGATAGCAGATCGAGAAGAGGGCGTCAGGTCTTTGAGGAAGGGCACCACAGCCTCAACGTCGCTACCGAAATCGAAGCCGTGTGGGCGGCCGTAAAGAAGGTGACTCGTCTCACGGTGGATGCGGCGGTTGACGGCCATTATTTCGGGGTGCATTATAGACTTGGGGCTAGCCGGGTGGTGATGCGCGTACGTCGTCAAGAAGCATTGCCTGTGAAAGGACCTCTCGATGATGCGGTATGAGGTGCGGCGGTAGGTGCTCAGGGCGCCGTTGTGCAGCTGATGCATTGCCTTATTGCGGACGGCGAGTCTTCTTTCACCAGCGTCGTCGAGGAGGTATTCGTAAATCATGATGCGGATTTCGGCGGGGATCCGCATCAAGGGGGATTGCTCTTCGTCCATGATGGAATCGTGGGGTTACGAGGTGTGGGAACTTGGGGTCAGAATCTGGGGTCGGAACTCGGGTGGGTTGGACGGGGACGCTTCTCGGATGAATGGAACTGGTGTCTGGAGGTTTGAACACAGCACAGAAACGATGAATGAAGATGCAGAAGAGTAACAGAGTCGGAATAGAAGAGAAAACAGGCGGAATTGGAAAATACCAGAGGCGGAAAGAGGGTCATCAGCTGGTCTTATGGCATCGTGTAAGGTACGGCAAGTGCCCCTGCGAAGGTGGAAGGTGAGCGTGACTTCCTTTGACATGTCTTTCCGAATTGGTACACCCACGCGTTCCGAGAAGCAGCCAAGGAGAGGGGTCCATCAAGGTGCCTTCCTAGTGACTGATATTGGCACTTGCTTCTGCCTCTAACTGCCCAAGTGGTCCTTCCCCCGAGTCGGAAACATCCCATCGGCCAATGACTCTTTTCCTTTCTTTTGATGAGCAGAACTTCGTCGCAGTTGCAGTTGCAGTGTGAACATCCAACCGCTGTGCCGCATGCACACGCGGGGCCCGACCTTGGCCGTCAAGGTCCCCTTGTTGGGGCCATTGGGGGGAGGTGTGGATCTCTCCGACCTCATCTCACCTTACCAATGGACCTCACCTACCTCCCCCTTGGAGGTTCCATTGCTTGGGCAGTCGGAGTCCCTCGTTGGAGAGTGGGTGTGGCAGCTATTTCACCCTGCACAACGGAGATTCACCAGCAGGCCAACAGCTGCTTAAACCAGCCGAACCAGCGTGAATGCAACTTGTACAATCAGCACTGCAATATGTAGCAAACATTATGCAATGCTCCACTGGCTGCTTACCGGCTGACTCTTCGCGAGGATGATAAGCAATCCTTCTTCACTAGTACAACTTATGGGGTGTCCAGACTAATATCGTATCTGTTCTTGACCAACGCTGTCCGCAAACCAATGCCTCGGTCCTTGTTTCGGACCAGCGCTGACGGCTTCGCGGATCACCACGGGGCTCCACATTCCTAGAATCGCGGGGGCCACCGGGACACCTCCGCTCCTGGGGTCCGATACCCGCCGGCTGCCTTTCACAAAGCACCTCAACTTAATACTCACGATGGAATCAGCAATCTTTCTACAAGAATTATCGTCAAAACGCCAATCCCGGTGCCATTTTCTATCTAACGATTGGCTACATGCTTGCCGAAACAACTTCCCAGCTCCCTTCCGCGCTACGATAGCATTCCACATTGCGAAATTCCGAGTACTCCCGATGACTAGTATATCTGTGGAGGAGATGACAGCTTGTTTACGGAATTTCTTACTAGATAAATAAACCCGACCATTTCCAAGACTGACAGCCAGACCCAGTCTGCCAACTATAATCGACCATTCTTCGACTTTCTGAGCTTCATAGAGGTTTCAACTCTGTATTGGAGGCAGATGATTCCAACAAACTCTACTGTCCGGAGGCGCAAAATGTATATGCGTACCCTGTATCCTTTGCCATCTTACCCAGCTTAGTTCAGCTCCCATGTCAAAACGCAACTTTGGCTCACGACTCACCACGTGTCTGGCAGTTAGTACGTATGATTCCCTAGAGGGGTCTGACCCTACTCGGCCTATGACGTTCATTCATGTTATGGCACTTGCTGGCCTCTTTGGTCATTCCAGAAGCAAGAATAATCTGAATGAGAAACACAAAAGTCAGCATTACGACTCAACCTCTCGAACGTAACTCATATCCCACCCTTGGGAGCTTAGGAGATGCAGATCTGACATGGCAGATCTTCAAATCGGAGCTTCAACCATTCATTGTATAGATACTGGTGGCCGCAGCGTAGTGGGAATCGATGAAATAAATACGGAAGAAATCTCAAGCAAGTTGGTATCATTCAAGCCCTCCACCAACAACACTCATCATACATAAAACACATCCTCTCCAAACAAATACCTCACAAAGCCTTGTCCAATGTCCCCTTCTTAACAAAGTCCTTTGTCGCAAACTCCCTCTCACCACCAGTAGTGATGTTCTTGTTCTTGGCCATGCCCTGCGAGTCGCCAGCCGCGGTGTCAACAGCAGAGTTGAACTTTCCACGAATCACCTCTCCCATTCCCTGTAACACAGTCATCAGCATCGCATATTCAGCAACAGTCCCCTGATCATACTAGAGGGTGTCAATAAACGTAGAAACTGCGCACATGTCCTTGTGCAAATGCACCCTTAATCTGCTGCCCAATGCCACCGCTACGCGTCGTCGGCGCATCGCCGCCGCCGATGGTGCTTGTGGCGGCTCTGGAGGTCGAGTGCGCTGCTGGAATCTTGTCGGTTGTCGTAGTGTGGGAGGTTGCGGTATTCACATTGGGGGTCTCGTACGTGTTTGCGGTACCCGCGGTCTCGGCGTTGAGAACTTCGGAATTCGTGTGTGTGGCCATGGTGATGGTTGCGTTCAAGCTTTGGTAGACGTTGGTTTCTTATGGCTGGTTAATGAGCCGAGTTATGTGAGTATTTGGTAACACTTCAAGTAGATATGATATACAAGTTCATTAAACCATCTTCGGAATTTATATCGAGAGAGGTTGGTCGTTAGCTTCCTTGAACCTGGTCTTGTGATGCGCCAAGGGGTGACGTCACGATAGCGCAAAGTTGGCTCGTGGCTCTTGTTGATCTGTGGACCTTCGGATCCGGGTTGCCGCATGGGTTGATGTCAGCCTCAACGCTTTTTCTTATCCAGGAAGCTAATTCTTATCTGTTTGAGAATATCTCATGAAGCGTAGTTGAGCATACCGGTATGTCAGGATGACCAGTTGTTGCACACCCCTAGAGATAGACTACATATGTCATATGTTTTTGAACATCTTTTGAAGAAGCCGCGTATTGCTGTAAAGCCTAGAGATAAGCTGGTATTATTACAAAAGGAACGCCTCACCCGATGGTCCCATGAGAAAACCTCGTCTGTGCAAAGAAAATGTACCAATCGCCTTGTTGATGTGTAATCCCCTCGACAGAAGAAAAGTTCGAATGTACACCAATGTCCCTGTCCATCCTACCCTTCGTTTTCTTATTCCCTTGCCTGGGACACCGGTGACTGAATGTTCATCGGCCTGAGCTTCACCACGCACCCAAGACGAACACCATACCAACAAAAGACCAAACCCACTTTGACACCTCAACCCTCTCTCCAGCACCGTAATACCCCCTACCGCCGCCCCAACCACCGCCACCATTCCCCCATCCCCAAGCGGCGCTGATTTCACACTCTCCGTTGAAATCAATGGTATCCGTCCTCCCAATAGGCGTGCAGAGAGACGATGATTCGGCAGCCTTTTCGCTGTTCTCGGTGCACGCGGTAACGTCGCTCCACGTCCCGTTGAGGCAGTATTGGAATCTGTCCGAGAGACAGTTGTACTGGCCCTCGGACCCCTCGCAGGATGTATCGGCTGCAATGGCGAGGTATGAGAGGTCCTCTAGGATCGTCGTATCTCTTGCTTGTTTGTCGAGAGCTTGCTCTGTGGTCGGAGATGGTGTCGCGAGGGTGCAGTTGACTAGGAGGGCTAGGAGGAAGAAGAGGAGGAGGAAGGTTGAGAAGACGCTTTTGCGTCTGCATGACTGGAGGTGTGGAAACATTGCGAGAGAGAGAGCGCCCCGAAGAGTGTTACTGAAGTGATTTTCTATAGCCCTGAGGAGAGGAAAATTTCGCTTGGGGAAGGAAGGAGAGAGCGGTTGTTCTTCAGCCCAAAGGACGGAGTGCTTGGGTGGAAAGGCTGAGACGAGCGTGTAAGTCGGCACATGAGCATATATGGTACTCAAGGAGTACTGCAGGTATATACTCTCCCCTTCCCCCTCCCCCCTCTTTACAGCTGAAAGGTCTTGCCCTAGAGTTGGCCAAGAAAGAGCCCGAGAAACATGGCAGACAGATCGGAGACCCATCGAGGAATGACGAAGTTGATCAACAGTCACGACTCACCTATGCTACCCATGGAGCCCCTGCCGTCCTAGTAGGCTCATGGAGAGACCATGACTGTGAACACATGCCGAACCCCTTCGCTCCCGCCATATTGTCTCAGAAACTAACTCCTCTCGCCGTAAAACTGTCGGAGCCTGCTTTCATCTGAACGGCTCCAGACCGTCGCTGCGTTGTCAGCTGTACCGGCGTAGTCATGACAAGACCATAAGACGTGTAGACATGCCATTGGACAATCCCTAATCTAAGGTAGCTCGCTCACCGAGCGAAACTTCACATTCAAGTTTCCCGTCATTCTGATGCGCAAAAAGCTGCAAGAGAGAAAATAGCATGGATCCTACGGACCTCTAGTCATATAGATCGGCCGAGCAAGCTGTAGCTTTCTTAAGCTTACACTCTAGCTCCTCCAACGAGACCTTCCTAAAATTCTCCGGGACGTTTTCATGCATAAACGGTTCCCCATGGCACGGATTATTCGGCACAGACTTGGCTTAACTCGTACACGCCCTCTGCCCCATCTCCGACTGTAGAGGTTGCAAAGAGGTCCGCAATCCTGCAGGAACCCGGCTCAGAACATAGAAGAGCAGGTGGGACTTGGCCAACCGGCTCCAATTCTCTTGAACGTGAAATGCTGAATGTGTCACTCTTTTCCTTTTGGGCGTTAAGCTAAGTAAAAGCAGAGTATGAACGCATCCCAGGAAACTCGTGAACCGGTTCGTGATGTCCGACGTGTTCTCGCGTTGGTCGATGTTGCTAGTCACCTAGCGCCAACGCTACCCTTTCCTCCGCGCACCAATGAGGAGGCTGATGCCTGCAGTTTCTGGAAGGCTAGCCAGCGGATAATTGTCTAATTATTTTGTAAGGCTGTTGAAGAGGAAGATCCTTTTGGCATTGCTTTTCTGACAATCGTCCTAGCTGAGCTGCGGCTTCGCTTGCATCCCTATCCAACCCGACTTTTCCCGTGTTCTTTTGGAAATAAGAGAAGCTGACTGCATACAGTTAAGTAACGATTGAAGAATAAACAAGAAGGATCTTCTCATTCCAAACATGCTTCCAAAAGCCGAGATTGAGATGATAGTAGCCTCCTGGACGGTGACGCGAATCTCCAAGCTTGAGTCAACCATCTCACTATACACAAGCTGTGTCGCCTTCAGCTTCTGCGTCCTGGGGGGCATGTGTGATCATTAACGACTGGATTAACCAACTGTCGAGACTCTAGTCTGCGTTACAGACAACATTTAGGGGCACGACGTTCTGTTTCGAGCATGCGGGGGAACGATTGATCATATGTGACGGTTGGTTGAGTATATACAAGTTCTATCTTATTAGACATTAGGAAACCCATTGATGACAGCGCGTTCCAGCTCTTGGTCTGTGCTGCTGTGAGCTCTCTTCCCACAGTCCGAGATGGCCCTGGGCCCTGAATGATGCGTCGTTTCTCAGGTCTCGTTCGCACGTGTTACCCATGCTTTAAGTTCAAACAACCTCCCATGTTCTAGCAGAACTAATTGCGCCATGCTGAGGATATGCAAAACACGTGAAAGTACATTAGACATCAATCGTCTTTTCCGTAGTAGCAAAAAGAAATATGACCTCCCCCCCTTCATCGGCGGTAGCGAGGGGTCGCGCTGGCAGTACCGTTCCACTCGGGGTACTTGGTGGTAGACCAATCACCATCGTCAAAGCTCGTGGTAGACTCCGGAACCGAGGAAGATGTTGTCACACTGATGATGCTGGTGACAAAGGTTGAGGGTTGAGGGAAAGAGCTGGGCGTCTGTACCCATGAGGTTTGATAAGTGGTCTCATAGACTTGGGTAGGAGTCGGCGGCGTGTGAGCCTCTGTGACGCTTGTGCTAGTAGAGGTAGAAGATGTAGTCGTCGAGGTTGATAATGTTGATGATGTTACGTTAGGTGGAAGAGCAGATGATGGTCCCACAGGGGGAGCGACATAAGAAGTCGGCGCAACCGGGGTCTCCGTGGGCGAGGGAGGCTGAACGATGACCACAGACGATTCAACTGGTGTTGAAACCGGTTCACTTGGAGCAGCCCATGTTACTGATGACTGAGGGGGAACCACATTGGTCTCGGAGGAACTGGAAACTGCGGCTGCTGAGGATGATGCTGGGGGTGCCGCAATAGATGTCCATGTCGATGGAGGCTCAGCTGCTCCCGTGGAGACACTGGCGGACGGCGACGGCGACGGCGATGGGAACGCACTGGCAGTACCCTGGGTTTCCGTCGAAGGAAGAGGCACAACACTGGCGGTGGATGAGCCAACAGGTGCTGATGATGGTGCCACTGGGGTTTCTGTAGAGGGCGGCAGCTCGAGAGCAGATGTCGATGGCGACGAAGGCACTGGCGAGGATGGGCTAGGCGACGCCAATGTCTCGCTTAATGGGGGAGGCACCACGACAGGGGCGCTCGAGGACGGTGTGGATGAAGGAATTGCAATGCTCGAAGGGATGCCAGGCGTACTTGTTGAAGAAGGAGCTGGCAGAATAGACTCGGAGACTTGAGTTGACGGTGCAGCTGAGGAGGGTGCTGGCTCAACAGAACTTGGCGGAGGAGCAACCGGTGGCGTTATTGGTGCCGTCGTGGGAGTGACTGTCAAAGGTGTTGATTCAGGGGTAGGCTTTACGCTTGGGTAGACAGTGACGGTTGCTGGGCCGCTGTCCGTGGTGCCATCGACGTTCACGATGATGAGGGATGTAGTAGATGTTGTCTGTACTGCAGACGAGATCTGGGTGATGGTATCGGTGACTCTCTGCGTGACCGTTGTTTGAACCGGCGATCTTGTGATGGTGACAACTGGCGGGTCGGCGCTGGGACTTCCCTCAACATTGACCACTGAGTAGGTCTTTGTTGGCTTTGTGCCACGAAGATGGAGGAGACGATCGATGAGGGGGATCGCGTTTGCTGCTGTGGAGACGGATAGCAGCAGCGGGAGGGGAGCAGAGGGCCGCATCTCGACGATGGACCACCAGCTGCTGGCGGTGTGATGTGTTTGAGAGATAAAGAGAGAGCTCGTCTCAAGTCAAGTATGGTGCCTCAAGTTGACAGGCCTGGTCGATGCTGTGCTTCTTGCTGTTGCTGCAGGATGAAGGACGGGCACTGACAGGATGGTGGATATCGATGTCGATCGAATACGATTAGTTGTAAAAGCGACTGTAGGGTATACGAGGAAAAACTGGAGAAGCAAAAGGAAAAGCAAACAGGAGGATGTGCGGGAGCCATGATGGTTTTACTGCGCTGCACTAGCAAACGCGGATGGCTGGGTGAGGGAAGCTCGGAAAAGCTCGTGATGGGAAATGTTGGTGGTTGGGAGGTTGAAATGGCTCCATTTTGGTGGTGGTAGTGCAGCTTCCAAGGCGGTTTGACAGTTGATCCAGGGGTTACTTACAAGGGACTTGACTGCATGGGGGGATTTGGATGGAGGGGTTAGGTGCCTTTGGCTGGTTGGCCAGGGACACAGCGACTCAAGGGCACCAATGGCGGGGGAGCAACAGGCCTAAAGGTGACGGGAGGTGGGCAGAAACCAGGCACGCGTGGCACACCAGGTACGGGCTGGGTTGAGCGGCTCGCTTAGCTTGCCGAGGTGGATCCGTCGTGGCCAATGGGAGATTGTAAAAGACGGCTGCCCAGCCACCCGCGTTCCTGTTGCTGTTGCAACTCAGCTGGCGGAGATTTTAACACTGCTGCATCTAGACCTCGCAGGAAGCTACCATTAATTGATGAAAAAGGGGAGATATGCTAGCGAAACTTCAACGGCAAACAGCTACTAGTGACGGGACTGTCATTCGGGTCGCAGGCTGGGGTTACACTTTGTCGAACCACATCCTGCCTGGCATGCCCCTGTACAGTGCTGGATGGTTTTTCGAGGTGCGAGGTACCTTAGTATTGTTATGTAATTCAGTGTCACTAGCCACCATGGAGAAGCCACCAGCCGCGAATGACATGAGCCACGTAGAGCCGGAAAGGCCGAGAGCTGTCAGCAAGTGGCGGTGCAGCCGGAACCATAGCTCGCCGGTGGCTCGTGCATCAGAGCCTTGGCCTGTGGCTTGCCCCTGCGTCCTCCTCTTCCTCCTCCAGACGAACCCTTCCCCTCGACTCTCCGCTCCGCTCCCATCTCTGCACCGCAGGCGCTTCTGTCTGCCCGGTCCACTTCCTAAGCTTCTTCACAAGAAACAGTCGCCAAAGTCGTGCAAGGGCAAGGGAGCTCTGGCCCCCAGCGTGCATGTCATCTCGTAGGGCAGCAGGGTCGCCGTCGATCACACCTTGCGCGTTTGTTTGCTCTATCATTACTCTTCAGCCTCGGATATCCGTACTAACTAATTCAAGGTCTCCAGCATCTAGAACAATCCCTTTCTACCTCGAATCAATGCCTCATTCATCATGAATTGAACAGCGAACATACCCCACCGCATCGGGCTGCAGCAATGGTGCACAGGAACGCGAGACATTTGGCAGTGCTACCTCGATTACGCATCTCTGTGGCGCTGACAGCAGCTCAACAGGGTTGGCGCCTTGGAGGATGGAAACATTTGGACCTTCTGGTCGCTTTCTGTGGACCTCATCGCACTGCCCGCGCCGCCCAGAAGTCGTGTTTAATCTTCCAGGTGGATGACGTTGAGTTTCTTTGCTGGGCGCGTGCCTACTAAGCCACCACACCAGCCTGGGTAGACCGTCTCGCAGCCCAATGACTTTGGCTTTTCTGCTGCTGACTGCTGGGAGAAGCTCCGCGTACGGATCGATTCGTCGGGTTCGATCTTCCACCTTAGCTCAAGCTCTTACCACCAACAGAAAGCAGGTGACGGCCGGAAAGGATCACCTCCAGCTTCCCCCTCTCAGCACCGGCACAGGGCCCAAACACGCAATTCTTGCCTTAGCAAAAGACTCACAGCCACACACCGGTCTCGTCGCCGTCACCTCGCTTGCCTCTTGAGACCCCGTCTTGTCCGTCCGCCACATGTAAGCTTTAAAATAAGCTACGCCGCCCAGTCCCATCTACGATTCTCTCATCCGGCTTTCCGTCTTCTTGCATCTCGTCACCTTGTGCTGCCCCGCAGTCTTTTACAACACCTACTCCGTACGAATACGCAGTTCACATTTACCTAACATCCAGTACCCCGCCCCCTCTTGACCTCTGACGCAAGCGCGCCCCCGATTCTCCCGGCACCGTCAACCGATCGAGCTCTGCGCGTCGCATTCCAGACTTCAATGTCCTATCCAGGCCAGTACAGCTACGGCGCCCGTAAGTTGCATTCCGCATCTCTGCGATCCTCTCATGCTTGTTGTTTAGATCTTGACACCAATTCAGAGCCTCACGGCCAGGGCTACGGCCAGCAGTACCCGCCCCCTCAACAAGGAGGTTACGGCGGATCACCTTATCCTCCGCAAGGAGGACATTACCCTCCTCCTCAAGGTCCTCCGCCCGGCCAATATGGTGCACCTCCTCAACAGGGCGGCTACTACCAACAACCTCCTCCGGGCCAATACCCCCCGCAAGGCGGACACTACCCCCCGCCCCAAGGTCCTCCGCCAGGCCAGTATCCGCCTCAGGGCGGCGCATACGGCGCACCTCCCCCGATTCCTCCCTCGCCATATGGCGGACACTCTCCCGCGCCGGGTGGCTACGGGGCACCGCCACCCAACCAGTCGTATGGCGCTCCCCCGCCTCAGCACTACGGACCCCCAACGCCGGCGTCTTTGGGATACGGCGCTCCTCAGATCATCCAATGGGACGCGACTCCTGACGCGACGACAGCGCGCAACGCAATGAAGGGGTTTGGTACCGACGAGAAGACTCTCATCCGCTGCCTAGCAACCAAGGATCCTCTGCAGATCGATGCCATCAGAACAGCATTCAACAGGAATTTCAGGCGTGATCTCGAGCAGGATATCAAAAAGGAGACAAGTAGTTGGTTCCAGAAGGGCTTGGTGTCTATCGCCCGCGGCCCCCTCCGCTCTGATATCTACAACTTGTACGAGGCTATGGACGGGGTTGGCACAAAGGAGAGTGTTCTGAATGACATTCTCCTCAGCCGTTCAAACGCGGATCTGCAGGCCATCAAGAGCGCATACCAGCAAACATTCAAGAGGCGCCTGGAGGATGACGTAAAGGGCGACCTCAGCATGAAGACCGAGAGGCATTTCCTCATCGTTCTGGGTGCCAACAGGGCAGAAGACTCTGCACCCGTTGTGCCACAACAGGTCGACTCAGATGTCATGGAGTTGTACAAGGCTACCGAGGGCAAGGTCGGCACGGATGAGATGCTTGTTTGCAGCATCCTGAGCACCCGCAACGACAATCAGATCCGCGCCATCAACCAAGCCTACGAGCAGAAGTTTAGGAGGAAGCTTGAGGAAGTCATCAAGAAGGTAAGCCGGCCCAATTTGACGCGCACGTCATACCCGATACTAACTTACGCGATAGGAATTCTCTGGACACATGGAGGACGCCCTTCTTTTCCAGCTCCGCAACGCAGTCGACAAGTACATGCATGCCGCCAAGCTCCTGGAAGACTCAATGGCTGGGCTCGGCACCAAGGATCATCTGCTCGTAGCACGCGTGGTGCGATACCACTGGGACAAGAACACCCTCGCCAACGTCAAGGGTGCGTACCAAGCTAGGTACAACCGCAGCTTGGCGAGCAGGATCCGGGGCGAGACGAGCGGCGATTACCAGAGGCTGATGTTGGCGTGTATTGGCGAGAACATTTGAGCAGCGACAACGCGGGCGCGGAGTGCGAAACCGAATGATACCCTGGGCTGGGAAGGACTTCTCATGAGATAATGGCCGGGAATGATGGATGGATGAATGGACTGGAGGCCGTAAGCGTTTATAACGACGGAGCTCGCGAAGAGCAGAGGTAATTGGACGGGTACTTGGCATGGTTATCAGTAGTTTACCGTAATGACAATCTGGACTCTGTTCTGGATTTGCAACACAGCTCTTTCAAGGTGCTCTGGGTGGTGACACAGTGCCTCGATCTTTGTTCTTGGCGCCAATGATGCTATTGCATTCATATGATTCTTCTCGTGACAAACTCGCTCCCACCTAATTGTCAACATTGCGATGCTTTGCCGTTGTTCAAATGACCCAGTCTCGCTGCTCGTTACTGTGGCCGCAATAATACGAATCATGCGCTTCTTACACGTGGGTGACAAAATATGGAGAGAATTTATTGCGACTTATTAATAAATGGGCTAAAAATGTTACTTTTTCTGCAGTAATTGCTCCAATTTAACGGCCACTCCTGCTCCGAATGCTCTAATTAGGTGCATCGAGTCCAAGCGTCTTATGTGCACCTTGGGGCATTCGCGAATGTGTGACAGATTCTCATGTCATTATAAAGCAAACGGAAAGTACGGCCAATCAAACCGGAGCTAAGGGGGTGAGAGCGGGTCTTTCCTGCCAAAAACGCTATAGCAAGTTATAGCACCTTCTCTAGCTATTACTTATAGCGGTCCCAGGCCCCCCTCCTTCTAAATAAGTCACGCTAATTAACTTTTTCTACTACGTTAATAAAGACGTGGCCCCTCCTCCGCCCTAACTTTTCCTATTTTTTCCACCCTCTACTTAACCAATCCGTGCTCCACTTACGTCTGCCCACTTGGTTGCGCAGAACGGCACTTTGAGGACGACGAGCATCACCCACGATCAAGATCGCGAACTCGAGATCGACGTCAAAGAACGCGTTTGACGAAAGATTGACGCGTCAACTCGTGGATAGTGAGCAGCTTCTTCTCAGCGCACTTTTGGACCGTTACTGACACTCGAAAAGGTTGCACCTGACCAAATTGGGTCCACGGACGACGATCTCATTCAGCTTAGACTCGTTCCTTCTTCAACCAGTGCACTTGGCTTCTTGAACAACGTCTTCCATTTGGCTTGGCTATAGAGTCACTTTTCACAGATCAAGCAAGCGGCTGTTCAGAGATGGCATCACCAATGATGCAGCAGCCGCCTATGCCCAACGCCGGCGCATACGGCCATGGATCAATTCGCCAGTCCGCATCACATTCTCCCGCTTTCCCTCCGCCATCGCAACCAGCTGCGGCTCCCAAGCAGACCCCGGTGCCTTTTCCTGTACCAGGTGCTGCTGCGAATGGAGTCAAGCCGCCTGTTGTTCCGGTTGTCACCTCTGATATTCAGCAAGAAACTCAGCCAGCGTCAGCTCAACATACGGGTAAAGTGGACAAAAATAAGAGATTCCAGGACGACTATGCTCGGCTCTCCGCTGCGATTCAAGAATCAGACCCGGATGCAGTTAGACGTGCGATTAGGGACAACCACCCAAAGTGTCTCCTTGGCTCACACTATCACCTGGCTTTTCTTGTAAGTATCTGTCGCGGGGATCACCACGTTATGGGAAGGAAGCCGAGAGGCTCTTGACGAATCACGATTGACTGACCCTCTTACAGATGAACGTCACCATGCATCAAGCCGACGTCGGAATCTTCCAGAGAGCCGTCAGAGACTTTGGCGCAAGGTTCCTAGAGGCTGGCAAGCACGAGCTTATCAATGCCATGACCACGGCTGACATCGATGAGGTGGCGGATAAGATTCTCGCCAAGGCCTCCGACACGTTCCTTGACAGAGCTCTCGTAGCTCGTCTGCCCACTATCCAGGCACGTCGACTTGTTAATGCCCTGGCGCGAGCGGAGAGGCTCGGATACGATGCTGCGGATATCGTCGAGAATGAACATGTCATCCCCTCCTTGCCTGGAAACGCTCCTGCGGCTCCGGCCCAACAACAACAGCACCTACAGCAACAGCAACAGCAGCACCAGCAGTTGCAACAACAGCATCAAGTTGCCCTCGCGCGTACGAACTCCTTCAAGAGTGTCAACCAAAAACCAGAGCTCCCTGTACAACCCCTGGAGCCAGCGGATCCTGCCAACCCGCAATGCCTCTACTGTCAGCGCACTTTCCCAGGGGTATCGGCCTACCAACATGTAAGTAATGGTCTCGTTTACGACGTAGACCAAGCTAACCGTCAGCAGCACGTCAAGAAGAAGATCTGTGTCAAGACGTCTCCGCTGTCAAGATCGACTAGTGAGGCGTACATGTGCCCTCACTGCGCGCAAAGATTCGGCGGCATGGCTGGTTTGCAATACCACATGATGAACAAGGTGTGTGGCGACTTTGGCGAAGTCATCAAGGACGATATTTCCTCGATTCCGAAGGCGTCTCTGCCGCAACCAGTTCTCAACCCGCCCGTCAAACGGCCAGCTCCGGATAGCGCCCCCATGTACGTCGCCTCCGGTAGCAACAGCCCGGCATACTCGAACACCCAGACACCTCGCGCTCCTTCCAGCTCTCAGGCGGTTGATCTCTCGAATGCTCCATTGGGCACCCCTCAGCACAAGGACATGGCCCATCTCACAGTACATCAAATTGAGGCGCTGAAGGCCGAGTTGCAATTAGCCGAAGAAGGATTCAAGATGAAAATCGAAGCTGCGCAGAAAGCCGGTGGTGACCCGGATGAACTGCAGAAGAAGCTGGCGGGATTCAAGAACTCGTACGCATGCAAGCAGTCCACGATCCGCAAGAAGTACGGCATCAAGCTGCGCCAGCGACGTAATCGCGAGGAGATGGAATTGGAACGCCAGCGTATGGGCATGCCTGATGGTGTACCTCGCGCAATTCCTACGCCGAGTAAGGAAGGCCATGCCGACAAGCGAGCTCGCCTCAATGGAAATGGTGATGCGTCGGCGACGCAGACTCCGCGGGACCTCACACCGATCCAGACCGTCGCGGTAACAGACATGGCCAATGGCCTCAACGGGTCCAACGCGACGGCCGCAACACAGGATCCGACGGCGAGCATGAGCATGTCACACCCGCCTGCGTCCGCACAGCCGGTAGCAAGCCGGCCGCCGCCGTCGACATATCATCAAGGCAACTATAAAGTTGAGGTGCACGTCCCAAGCCCGTCGAAGAAGGTTGGGTCTGCTCCTCCGGACGAAAGCGCGATGGACGCAACGCCGTCGAGGCCATCGTCTAATGGCGGTATGACGGCCTTGCAGCTTCTCAAGCAAGTTGGGGGTGATGCCAGAGCCCCTATTGACTTGGACGACGTTGAGAGTTCCTCCGAATCAGACTCTAGCTCTGATGACGAAGAGTGACCAGGCCACCAGATACTGCATTTCTGAGTTTTGCCGTCTTTTTTATATCAGCACTGTTTGCGACGATTCCGCGACCTCGTGATTTTCGGCAGACAACTATTGCCGAGAGCGAGAAAAGGAGAGGGAGTGTTCGCATTATCTGGATGGAAGCATCCAGCTACTATTTCTCAGATCGCAGCCATTCGAATACCCCAGGTTTCTCATTTTCGGTACAGGCATCGGGCATACTCAAAAGGCGTTGAGGTCGTAGCGATGCAATTTTTGAGATTTCTTTAGACAACCGCGCGCAAGATTTTACTTTTCATCCAAGAGTTTCGTGGTTTCTGGGGTCGCAACATCTTGGGTCTGCAAAAGTCTTTGAAAGGCTTTGAAGGGGTCATTGAAGCGCAAGGGTCCAGACGGCCGGGGTTGAATCCCTGCAAGGCAGACATATCAATGTTAATTGCAAATAAAGACAGCGATCACAAACATGTGCTTGAATGCTTGTCCCTCTTTTTGAATGTGATGTGGCTCGGAGACGTGTGATCGACACTCATGCAGGGTCGGCATTGAAGACCTGCCTTAATGTAATTAATTCATGTGCTGTGGCATGGGCAGGACGACTCATGGTCCATGCTCCCTTATATCTTAATTGGCAGATATGCAGATAACTCGTACTTGGAGGGTCAGCCATTGGGGTGGAATTTTTGAAGGTGGCTGTTTTGTTTTGTTTGAAATATTGCTCTGAGGAGCTGCAGATGATGATAACGGAAAAGTTTAAATGAGGCCATGGGGAGTCGATTTGATAGTTTATATGGCGGAAAGCTTCAGGGGTGCAGGGCGAAAACATATCACCTGTTGCTGTGTTATGTCTGTTTATGATGAGGTGCATGCAGGCCATGTCTCGAGCGTTGCAGATGCAGCACATCTACGGCTATAGAGCTGCGGACGCAATTTGGCTTGACCGAGGTGAAGGAGGCCGTGATGTGACGTGATGACAGGTGAAGGCTGGGTGGTGCGTGCTGCAATCCGTACCCCCGTGCTTTGCGTGAACAGGCGGGTGCCGTTGTCATGGTCTGTCAAGACTTGATCCTCTCGAGAGATGACACGGGAGTTGGCGAATTGGGGCATTCGTGTCGGGACGCAGGGTTTAGGGGATAGGAGCTTTGACTGAATGCATGGACGGACGAGGTTTCACTTCACCGAGGATGGCAGCTGCTAAAGATGCTGCCGTACGCTGCCTGCTGACTGCTGACTGCGGCGCGCTGTGCAGTGCAGCGCATTGCAGGGTCGAGGAGTGCGGTGCGGTTTGCGTTTGTGTTCTCTTGGATACGTGATGTTTGCGGGCTCCGAGCGTACGGGGTACATGTTGCTCTTGGATCGAGTGACTGGAGGCGCGCGTCGCGTAGCGTGGAGGGGCCTGCTTGGGCAATATGTGATTCCCAGGTGGTGAGGGAGAGAGGAAGGATGCTCGTGCTTCCCGATGGAGTTTTTGGAATAGATTCAGGTCATTGATTAGGTTCGGCGCGCATCGAATCTTGGTATTGTGGTGGAGGTGGTAGTTCAGCCGACCATTGGTTCTCTTCTTGACCTGACCTGACGTGTGTAATCAAAGCTTTAAGGACTTGTGGTCGGGTCAGGTCGAGTCAAGTCAAAGGAGTGTCAGGGCAATGGCTGATTGTGGTTGGAGGAGGCGAGGTTGAGGTCGACTTGACCTGACGTATCCATAATCAAGCTATCTGTAGGGATTCCATGGTCGGGTCAGGTCAACTATGTCGCCCGTGGTCGGCTGAGATGTACGAATAATCCTCCGCCCCTCCTCCAAAGCGCAGGGTCCACACTGCTCGCCTCGCACTGGACGAGATTGCGCGTGTCGATTTGAGTTCCAGGGGTCGTTGGGTCATTTCATCAACGAGGGCCGGGCGTCCCGAGTGCACACTCATCAACGAGACTTCTTTATGAGCGTTGAATGGGGAAGGTGAATCGTGAGCAGAAGCAAATGACTTGCTGGCCTTGTTGTAATTATTCCAGATCCCATCTCCCTTTTTCGACTTGGCCTCTCACCTCACACATTCATTCGCCATGTGCCCTTTGAATGCATGACCCGGCCTGTCTGTGAGTTATAACAATCGACGCGATGAGACCTATCACTGGCTGAGAAGCCCCTCTCAAAGTCGAGTGGGTAAAGTCAGATGAAGGATTAAGGATTCGGGGGAGGGGAGCCATCGGGAGGAGGGAGAAGGTGGTCAATGTGAAACGCAGGAACGGTCCCTGGAAATTATGTGATCAAAGTGGCGCTTCGGAATGGTTCGTTGGCACGCGAGGTTTTGTACAGATGATGAGATTGAATGAGATGGGGGGGGCGGTACGCCGGTTTGCGCCACTCAAGACTGCCGCCCGGCGCTGATGGGTGAGTGAGAGAGTCGAGACCTCCCGATCTACGAAAGTACACTGTAAATGACAAGCTCTGATGGGCGGAGGGAACGAGGTGGGCTCTAATTAGTGGGTGTGACGCTGGTGTTGGATTGGAGGGGGCTGTGGGTGGGATTTGATGAAAGTGAGATGTTTATTTTGTGAAACGATGAAACATTTTCAACGGGCATGAGATGCTATCGAAGTGAAGAATTTGTTCACCACGCTCTCCTTTACTAACTCATGCACGCCGGAGGGATCATCAACGTCGTGTCACCAAGCCAAGAGACGAACCCGTGTAGTGAGTTCTTCACAAACATGTTCATCGAGAGGACGTAGGTCCATACTCAAAACCCAACCCATCACCTCGCATGCAGTCCGCTGGGCGCTGTACTGCGTAATGAACATCCGTCACTCAGGACCATCGACTGGGTTACAAGTCACCACATACAACGCGGTAGAATGGAGGGGGCCACGGGGGGTTGCACACGGCGCGGTACCATCCAATGAAGCGCAGGCCGGGAAGGGTAGGAACTTTGCAGTTTGGTTTGGCGTCGCTAGCCCGGGACAGCACCTCACTTGCTCCCCGGGCCCTGGACCCCTCCAGGAGATGTCCTAGTGTCGGCTTGCACGCTGTGCGAGATATTCGTTGGCTTGGGGGTGTTATTCGCTGAGGGTACTTGGACTGAAGTGCTGCACTGCGGTGCCTGCATGTTGCCTCCCGCGTCCTGCATGCTGCGGTCCAGGTTTAGGCTCAGCGGTTCGCACTCTCTTAGCACATCCAAGCAAATACTTACTGTCACAGTACTGTGTAAGTATGGCTACAGTCAACAGAGGTCCATGTCTGAACGTCGTCGGGGATGAAGCTCGGGGAGAAAGCCCCGTCATTTGGCTGAGGCGTTGGCCCGTCGTCTGATGGCTGAGACGTACACAGGAGCAGTGGCGGACGGGCCCTGGGCGGGGACTCGAGGAAGGCTCTAGCTTCTGCTTGACTGATGTCTTCCCTGGTTGTCTATTGTCTCTTTGTCCGTCTGGCACATGGACAGCCTGCTAAAGTCCGATGACAGTGACTGGCGTTCGATGTTCCCCGTCCGTGTCTGGGCCCTGGGACAGCGGCCGGGCTGGATCATGGATGTGAGGAGAGGGGATGTGTGGTGCCAGACGGACGCCCGATGAGACCCTATTCCGCCCAAGGTGCATGGTAAACTTGGCCCCAGAGGCTTGCATGTAAGGACATGTAAGGTACAGGTCCGCTCCTTGGTGATCTTCCCGCGGGACGAGTGGCAAGTGCCGGGTTATGTGGTTTTCCCATGTGGAGATGATGGAGAGTAGTGTAGCTCCCTCACTTCGTCTGTGATTCATCTTGGGGATTTGCGTTGAATTTTGTGGTCTCGACTCTTAAGCCCTTGGATGTTTCTTGTTTTCTCGTTTTGTTTCTTCCTCTCCTCTTTTTTCTTCTCCCTCTCGTCTGGTTCTTCAGTTTTGTCGACCACTTGTTTTTCTGTTGTCATTTCTTGATTTCAAGGAAGATTTGCTTTCTTGATCCTTTTCTTGAGGTCGTTGTTCGTGGGGTCCAGCAACGTTTTGTTTGTGAATTACCCTTTTCAGCCAGCCAGCCTGTGCTTCCGATTCCCTCCCCACCACCACGCCCATCATCCCGAGTCACGAAACGAGGAACGGCACTTGGCCTCTGCGACGGCCTGGCTTTGGACGTGTTGATTAGTTCAGAGTTTCTGTTTTCATATATCATCAGCTGGAAACACGACCGATAGTCCATTCATCGCTTGACGATAGCTTTGAGTCAGCCTCTTATTGTCGTTGATTCCGAGTCCCCGCCGGCATCGAGGAAAGTATATCGGAACTTTGAGAGATCTTGCCGGACTCCGCTGCATCATACCCACTCCGCCGAATTCGAACACGACTTGCGAGCGAGCCGTCACCTTGACGTTAGTATCCGAATCGTATGCTATCGACACTGGAACCCATGGAAGACTGAAAGAAACCCGGAATTATTCATTGTCGTCGAAAAGGAAGCAAGAAGGTCCAAGTCTAGGTCCAGGTCCAGGTCCAGGATACCGCCAACTCCCAGGTGGTGCACACTCGAGCCCATTCCCGGTCACAGCGTTCGAAACGAGGAGAAATAGACCCCTCCACTTCTTTTCCCCGGCGAGTCGAAAAGGAAAACCAAAAGACAAATTCATGCGAAGAGAGAGGCGATAAGCATATTCAAGGAGATCCTATTCGGGAGCAGATCCGAAACATCAGACTGAAGTTGTGAAGCGCGGACGACAGCGACGCTGTAAGAGAGGGACAAGGGACGAGAGACGCGGCGGGCTGTCATTGACTGCTCGGTCTGGTTCCTTTTTCCTGCGTCTGGAGTGTTTCTCAGTGGGAGTTTCTTGAATTGAGAGAGGTCCGGGAGTCTCTTTTCGGTCGCCGAAGTAAGGGATATTTAACATCTTTGTGTCCGGTTCCCTTGCAAGCCCTTGGAGGTTCTCTTTTGAGAAAGATCCAGGTCAGGTGTAAGCAGCATTCGCTTTGCCGTGCCTTGCTTTGCTTTGCCTTCTCCCGTCTTTCGAAACGGTGCAACTAAAGCGGCAGCGTTAGCAACAACAATAGCAGCATTGCTCGACCACGGACCGTTGCGACAACCGAGTCGACTACGAGCATACGACAAAGTCATCGAGCCGAGGGTGTTTCGCCAATTCCCCAAGCGAAAAGGAAAGAGTTTGGCCCGCGTCGCATCGCATTCAAGCCACTTCTTTGTGGTAATACTCCTCCGTGGTGTTGGGTGCACCGCGATTGGTGGGGTTGCAATCTCTTGACGGGCGGGCAGTCTGTGAGTGCTGGGTTCTTGGAAGAGGATTTGAGTGAGAAGAAGAAGCGAGTGGGGAGACGGACGACCCCTGGTGGGAAATTGCACTTGCGGCGTCTGCGGGTGCTTGATCGCCGTCGGCTGTCACTTTTGCCTTTCTTAGCACTTAACGGCTGGTGCTAAGAAAAGGAAAGCTGACCTAAGAAAGAAGCGTCTTAGGTAAGGAGGCCAGCACCTCAAGCGAGAAGGACGAGCGACAAAGTACAGTACTCTGTAAAAAGAGAGAGAAGCGACAAAAAGATGTGGGACGCCTCTTCAGGTGAAAGTCGCGGTGGAGCGGGGGCGGGGCCAACCGCTATAACGGGCCTGCAATTAGAGGGCAGGGTGGGTCCGGGGACCGACGCCCTATCAAGGTCCCGGTCAGGTACCAACGGCGGTGCTGGTGCTGGTGCTGGTGCTGGTGTTGGTGCATTTGGTCCAGGTGTTGGCGGTGCTGGTGGTGCAATTGGCCGTCGGACGAACAGCCTGAAAACGACGGGCAGCCCTCAAAAGAAGTTGACGCCGCCGCCGCAGCTACGCGAGAGGAATCTTCTCAAGTCTGGTTCTGTCTCCGTCACCGGTTCTCTCTCTTCCGTCACTGGCTCCGTCACGCGCGAACGCGACCTGGAAGGTCACCTTGGACAACTTGGAGCTCATCCCTACCACCGCCAATCATCCACTTCAACATCCCAGCAGCAGCAGCAGCAGCCACGACACCAACACCACACGCCAACTTCCACGACAACAACACAACAAATCAGGGTGCATCTACGAGGAGGAGGAAGTGCCGGCCAACATCACCAGCAGTACCAACCCGTCCAGCCATATCAGTATCAGGTCCCCGGACAAAGAGGAGGAGGACCACCACCAGCTCCAACATCCGGAGCAGCATCTCGAAGTCGAGACACCATTGCCAACTACAACAGGCTCCGTCGCGAGACCCAGCACAGCTCCACGAGCACTTTGCACCACCAGAACTACTGGCCCGATAACTTTCGCAACCCGCACGGCGGACTCGGCATTGAGCACAACAACAACAACAAAGCAACCACCACGAGATCGAATTCGACAGCGACAAACCCGAGGAGCGACACTCAGTCCCGAACCGGTGGCATCCAGAAACGTGCCCTCGAAGAGAGTGGTGTTGCTGAAGAGTGAGTATTTCCATGCATTCCCCCCCCCCTTCCCCCGAATACACCGTATGATCCACGATATTTCACCCAAAATGCACAATGCAATGTGACGAGAAGAAAGAGGAAAGAGCGGAAGAGAGCAGGAGAAGGCCAGAGAAATGGAAAGATCAACCACACCACACCAAGAGAAGGAGCAGCTTGGAGCTTGGACACCCGTTCCTGCCCGTTGCGATATTGACTTTTTCACGCCCTCCTCCCACGCGCCTCCTCAACGAACTCAACGAAGCTCAAGCGGCGGCCAAGCTCAAGCTCAAGCTCAAACCAAAAATCCCCCGAGATTTCCATTATTCGCAATCGAACGCGCCCGCCACTCGAGCCTTCCGCCCGGCCAGATGAGGTGAAGCTCTTTTTCAAGGTTTCCTGGCGTCAAAGCCAGTCGTTCCATGGGCTCACCATGGCGGCAGCAACCTCGTCCTCGCGCATGCTCCTCGTCCATCGCGACTTTTCCCGCAACCTGGACCACGTCGCTAGCATCTCGGCCTCCTTCTCTTGCAACCTCACTGCCCTTCAAGATACTCTTGAAAACGCCTCCCAAAACGCTCTTGCTAACATCTCGCGCTCCCGCAGCACTCTCGACGACCTCCTTCCCCCGCGCAACCTATACAAGAACCACCGCGATACCTCTGGCGTCTGGCGCCCTGCTTCCTCCATCTACTCCGACGGCGACAACTACACCTCCCCCATCTCGCCAAACTTCGCAAACGTGGCTGCCCGAAACACCTACACCTCCGCCGTGGCGGACATCTCTCCCCCGAGCTCTCCTGACATGGAAGCTCACAGAGACGGGTAAGTCGAGCCCAGTCATTCCTACCAAAAGGCGCAGTGTCGAGCAGCAACACAAAACGTTGGGTTTGTCTGAGAAGTCTTATTCTTCGCTCTCAAAACCCACGTGGAATGTGTCTTGTCTCGTCTCGCCTTTTTGGATAGTGATTCACTTGCAAGTCAACCAACCACCCACTAACCATGTGCCTCTACTTCAGAACCCCCACGCAGGGCCGCGGGAATGTCTCGCCCATGGACGAGAGCCCGGACATGTCGCAGCTCGATATCAACGGCGCCCATGGCCAAAACGACCAGCATCACCAGGCTCAGCAAAAGACAAATATCCCCATGATGCGCCGAGAACGTCGCAAGAATCAAGAAGCTGCGGCTCACACTCTCCGAGAGACCAAATCCCAGCAACGGCTGCGGATCCAGCGCGAGACCAAGTGGGATGATATGACGGGCGAACCCACGTCCCAGACCACGGGCCGTGCGGGTCAAGTCAGGCCACAAGAGTACGCCCAGGAGTTTGGTTCAAATTCGCAGTTCGGCAAGTCCCCGGCCGCAATGAGAGCCATGCAGAACGCACCACAGGCGCAGCAAACCTTTGGTGATCGTCTGCGAAGGTTGAGGCCCGTCGGCGGAAGCCCAAAGCAACAGCAACCCCAGCAGCCGCAGTCGCCGCCTCAGTCATCAACGACACCCGATGTCATTGACGAGCGCCCACCATGGCGAGGTGCAAGCGGACGAGCACCCATTGTGAGCCCAGTCCGTGACACGAAGCCTGCAGCACCTCTCAACATCCCGCCCAAGAGCACCAGACGCGCCGCCGTTGGGCCTCGGCTGCCCATCGCAGGTGTCAATTCACCACTGTCCCCTGTCAGCCCCTCTGGATCTGAAACGTCACCGCGGTCGAGGACGCCCACCATCAGAACTGTCTTCAACGCTCCCCGCCAGCTGACTACTGCTTCTACCGCCTCATCTCCCTCCGCCGCTCGCACCCCTCCACCCGCACAGTCGGCATATCCCAGTCCTCCCAACTCGGGCGCTGGAGTCCAATCGCCCGTACATGCGACGCCCGAAGCCACTAATGACGCCAATGTCACGAAGAGACAACCCCCATCCCTGATGGGCCTGCCTTCTGCCCCTAATGCACATCTCGGCCTCGACAAGGCTATACGAAGAAAGCCTCCTCCTGCCAACTCGCATGCGCTTCACGCTCCGCAGCCCTCCTATTCTTCAAGTGTCTACTCGGAGCAGACTGTTCACGCACCCGCCAGCACTCACGAAAAGTCGCCGCCGCGCGCTCCTGCAGCAGCACAACGCGAAGCTGCCGCTGCCGCTGCAGCCAAGCCGACTGACCCCTGGGCTCAGCCTCCCTCGAGATTCAGCGTCACTACATACGCGACTTCCGCAGATCCCGATACCCCTCGCGAATCCGCAGAGTCGGATCGGCCTCCGGTGCCTTCGCTCCCGACGCCACCGCAACAGCAAAAGGACGGTGTAATGAACCGCAGACGACCTCCTGTACTCAAGTCCACCAGCCCTTCCATCAACCCAGACCAGCCCATCGTCATCTCCATGTCGTCCCCCTACATGTCGGGCGCCTTCACCGAGGACACTTCGCCGCCGCCTGCCCGAACCCAGCTGCCCAGCCAAAAGCAGCCGCTGCCTAGAACGAGCTCTGCCAGCCTGTACAGCAACTCGAGCCGCCCGGAGTCGGTTTGGTCTACTAGCAAAGCCTTGCCTCCGCCGCCGACCGAGCTCTCGATGGTCAACGATCGCGTGGGCTACCTCAACGCTCGGTTGGAGTCGTTGGGCAATCGCCGCATCAACATCAACCAGGCCATTAAGCAAATGACAGAGCTCATGCCGACCGACAGTATCCTGGCCAGTGAGGCTGTCCTCAGGAAACGCGAGGCCGAGAAGCGCAAGGTGGAGGCTCTCAAGGTTGAGCTCGCTGAGGTTCAGCGTGAAGAGTACGAGATTGGCCTCAAGTTGCACAGAGCCTACAAGAGAATGGATCGCAATGCAGAATACGAGCCGACGACGCTCTGGGTGCGGAGAGTTACTGGCTAGCCAATCCTAGCCCGTCATGGTGAGAGGGAGAGTGAGTGAGTGAGAGCTTGTATAATATTTTCGGGCCCTGTTCATACCGGCACTTCGGACGGCTGCTTATTTTTGGTGCAGCTTGGGTCGCGGACACTTGCGGAAGCGTTTCAGAGGAGTTTACACTGTTGAAAAAAAGCTGGACAGTACAGTGTATTGCGAGTACGGAGTTTGATGGCCCTGACTTGCGCTTTTTCCTTTGCATTACCTTCTTTTGGGAATCAGGTTGCGATTAGGGCATGGTTAATGGGATGAATTGGGGCGTCTCTTGGCAGATGAAGTTTTTGTTTCTATGCTTTTGTTTTTGATACCTATTTTTCTTCGAGAACTGTAGAACAGAATTCTAGAAACCCTTTTTCTCAATCACTCAAGAACCATCAACCCAAACCAGAGTTTGTCGTCTCGTTATTCACTGTGAAGCCGTTTGCTCGGTGACCCAATGTTTTGGAACAGTGAGGTGTTGGGATGGAGAGTGACGGGGCACAAAAATGTAAAGAGACAGTCGAGAGAACCCTGAAGGCTATAGATAGATTCGAAGGGTGTCGATGGGATTTCGCAGGCTGTGCTGAGACTTATAAGTCTAGAGAAAAAGATTCTACAAGGAATTTCTAAGAGAGTGAGGTTTCTATCGTTCTGAAATGCTTGAAACCACAGCGACTCTGTACTTACTTTGAAGCTATCGTTCACAACATGGATTGACCTTGGCCATAGGTATCGTGGATGAAGAGCACAGAGAACGACAACCTGGAATTTGGGAATAGCGTCACTATGGACAGACGTCGAGCAAATGAACTCATAAAGTCGATTGTATGGAAGCGAGTACAGTCAATTATCTAGAAGTAAGAAACAATATGATGTGATTTGAGTGATCTACCAACTGCGGCTCTATATGTCTTGATATCTCTCGACTATTCCACCTCTCCTTCAAATCCGAATCCAAATCTACATAAAAAAGGGTCAGCAGCCGGCACCATCACACTTCCACATCCGATCTCAACCTAACTCAACGACTTGAGCAATCCATGCCCAAGCCTCGGAGTCTTAAATCCCCTTGCAACCTCTCCTCCTCTCACCCCACGACCTCCTCTCACAATCCCATCCAGTCCCGGTCCATTAGTCGCCTCAACACCATTAGATAACCTCGTTCCCTTAAACTCTCTATTCCTCCTCACAGCCAAAGCGCCAGCAAAGACCGCAAGCATCGCCAAACATATCAAAACACCATACACGCCCACCAGAATCTTCCTCCTGAACCGGAACCGTATCGCGGGCCGTGACCGTGTACACGGGTATAGATAGTTCTTCCTCAGACCGGACCCCCGTCCTCTGAATGCCCCGTCTGCTCATTTGTCTGGGCAGATGCTTGTTGCGGAAGTGGTGGACGAGGGCAAATGCGCAGCCAGCTGAGAGATGTCAGCTGAGTACTGAGCATTAAATGGGTATAACGTACATTACGCAACAAAATTTGAGCTGCTACCAGTACCTGCCGAGGCAAAAGTAAGTAGTGGCAATAATCAACGCCCCGATTGGGAACAGGCTACTCGTATTAATTACTGGCAGGAAAGAGCCTGGTGCTCATCTTTAAAATACTATATCGATTTTCCCCAAGAGATATATTTCATTCAACTCGAGGTGGATATAATTCTAAGTAAATATCTTTTCATCGAAGAAAGTAAATTCGTTGTGAGTCATCTGTACAAGACTATAGTTTTGATAAAATAATACAGTACTTATTTAGCGCTTGAATCAATTTGCTTTTTGAAGCTTGCTATGATACAAAAATGCTAACTGCTTCCCATCGAGATGGACATAATTCGATATAAAGATATTTCGAGATAGGGTACTTAGTTGCCAAGCGTGGGACACGACCCGCTTCTACATTAGGCAGTAAGCCGAAGTGGGATGCGACTGCGACTGCAACTTTCTCTTCCCAAGGGACCTTAAGCTGCCCAAGTCAAGCTATTTAAAGGTAACCCTCCGGCCAATTTTGTTCCTTTTGGCTTCCTTACGTCAATTTCACAAACACCATGTCTACTCCAGAAAACTACTACGTAACCGTGGAACCATATTTGGGACACGGAAATAAGACAGGAGACAAACAATACTTGGCACATATCCTGGAATCCTGGAGCGCCGACATCGACCGCGACAATGATATCGGTTGGGCCCTACACTGGGCTATCTTTCAAGCAGACGATGCCGCTGTTCAGATGATGATAGATGCTGGCGTGGGACCCAATACGCGAGACAAACAGGATCCCGGCTTCACACCACTCCTGGCCGCCTCGCAGCATGGCAGACTCGAGATGGCTCGTCTATTCTGGGAACGAGTCGGCCCTGACGGGCGCTTCATTCCAAAAAAGAGAGGCCAACCTGGACCCGACTGTTTACAAATAGCTGCCAGGAACAACCACGCAGATCTTACTGCCTACTTCCTCGGCGCCTGGGACGGTTGGGACGACCAAGAGATGCGCAGGGCGCTGCTTGACGCGGCATCAGCCTGGTGTGATGATACAGTGCCACTTCTTCTGGCTCATCCCGGCGCCACATACGGCTCCGAGGTTATCCAAGATGCTCTGGCAAGGGCGGTCGGCAAGAGGATGATTCTCCCCGAACGCGAAACAAAACCAGCACCAACCACTGCAGATGCTACACGTCAGCAAAAGCTGGTCGGTCGCCTCATCGACGCAGGCGGAGATCCAGACGGTGAAGACCCCCGTTTCCATCAACCACTTATCCACGCCACAGTACATTCACATGAGTGTATCGGCGGCCTCAGCGGCCTCTTGGAGAAGGGAGCGAACCCCAATCGACCAGACGCTCGCGGAAGGACCGCTCTTCACTACGTGTTCAGTCCAATCAGTCGTCAGCTCCCCGACACTACTGCTCTTCAGTTTCTTCTTAGGCACGGCGCGCTTACTGATCTCGGAGACGAAGCTGGGGAGACATCGCTCCACGCCGCCGCGAAGACGGGAACTTTTCCGCAGCTGGAAATCTGTCTTTCGCACTGCCGAGCGCCGAAGTCGGAGTGCATACAACTACGGAACTCTCACGGTGAATCGTTATTGCACTACGCCGCGTCAGGGGGGCAGAGAACCACGGTGGAATTCTTGTTGAACTCCGGCCTGGACGCCAACGTGGCCAGCAGCAACGGATGGACGCCTCTCCTGTGCGCCCTGTCTCCGACAGCGGGGAAGACCGCGCATGATATGTGCTTTACGACCGACTTTCTACTCCAGAATGGCGCCAGCGCTGGCGTCGTGACGGACGAGGGATGGACCGCTCTTCATGCCTTGGCATCTTGGCCAGCAGTGCAAGATCCAGATCTCAGGGCAGAGGTAGCGAACCTCGCAAAAAGACTCATCGAGAGCGGCTCCCCCGTTGACGTCAAGTCCAGGGTCATTCGGAGCCCTTACACCACTTCTAACACTCTGCGCGATGTCTGGGGTTTCCGCATGCGAGACTTTGTTCAGAGGGCTGTTCCATCGGCACAGGACCTGGGCCAAGCAGATAGCACTACGCCGCTGGCATGGGCCAGGAGATGCAAGTCGATGGATGTTGTAAGCGTCTTGTCGGCGCACTTAGCCTCGGCTGGCGGTGAGAGTGCTTGATGTTAGCTACTTGGTAGGCATCCGTCTGCCTAAGAACCTCTTGGAAAGAAATCAAGGCTGGTATAGTCGAGGTACAGCTCCCAGATTCAAATATAAGCGCTGTGAAATATAATACAATAAATTCTCTCTTGCCTGTCATTACCTCGTTTGTTAAGGAAGAAAGAAATGCTTTCCTTTCCTCAACAGGCGGCTTACCTCGCTAAGTAGCATGCATAAGTACTATAGCGAATAAGAAGAGTCAAACAAGTCCTGAGTCTTTTGAAGCTTTCATCTTCCCCTCGCCATGTATTCGAAGCCAACTCTCATGGTTCTCGGCCCTCACGCAAAGGGGTCTCGAGGGGTGAAGTCGTATTGACTTCCGTCAATCAAGAAGTTGACGGTTTGCGTGATGACGCCCCATGCCGGGTGAGCCATTCCGCCGCGCAGTAGCATCCCCGCGTTGTTGGGATCAAGATCTTGATTCCCCCCGTTGTTGACCGTGGCACCACCCTATCATCATGTCAGCTTTTCGCCATCGAAACCCGGCATTCGGAAACAGAAACTCACCGTCAGGATCAAGTTCAACCCCCGCGTGGCGAGGTACCCATCATCAAACAACATCCTGCTCCAACGCTGGAATCTCTCGAAGAAAGTCTGATCGGCCGGCAACTGGTCACTCGGCAGGTCCGTCTCGGCTCCAACGTACCAGAGCTCCTCGTCGGGACACCCGAACCCGTCCCGCGTCGACGCCGTGTTCTCCACGCGCCACGCCTGCCCGGGCTGCGCGTCCGTGTCGTACCCGTGGAACACCTGCACCGACTGGATCCCGACGCGCGTGCGCCCGTCCACGTGCGCGATCCAGTTGGTCCTCTCGTTGACGTGGAAGTGGAACACGACGAAGCGCTCCTCGTTGCCCTCCGAGTTGTCCCGGAACCTGTTCAGCTCGGAGCCCGTCGGAACGCCGGGCGTGTCGCCGATCCAGTAGGCCAGCTCGAGCATCGGACCGCCCTGGGCGTTGACGTGCTGCCAGCGCGCGTAGTGCAGGCTGAGCTCGTTGTTTAGGATGCCCTCGAGGATCGCGGACATATCCGGCCGGCCGGCGCCGATGTTTTGGAGCCAGGTTATATGGCGGGACGCGAGCGTCGAGAGCTGCAGATGTTAGGATGGAATCGAGGAGAGAAATCAGATTAGGAAGCTTCACTTACGTTCTTGGATTTCCTTGACAGATCCCTCTCCTCCCGCTTGGTCACCGTAAGGAGCTGACAGAACGTGGTCTCCGTCCTTGCCGCCCGCCTCAACCCGGGCCCGGCATCAATGGGGTTCATAAAGACATATCGCATCAGGGCGTTCGGGTCCATCCCCTCGTGATTCGCGTAGTACGTCCTGATGTTACCAGACTGCAGCTCCGTATCGTACGCCCCGGCAAATATCTCATCGTACACCAGGCTCAGGGGCTCCAGCATCGACTGGGACGCCGTGAGCAGCAGAGCGCCGAATAGGACCATCCTCGTGAACCGATCCTCTTCGCAGTCCGTGGCCCTGCCGTGAAGAGACCGGTACTCAGCGGCCTCGCGCTTGAGGTCGCGCTTGAGGTCGCGCTTGGTGAAAGTGTTGCCGAACATGTTGCCCTCGGACGGGTTCAGGATGGTCGCCGGGCACGTCGGGTTCTCCATGTACCCCTCGAGAAGAAGCTGGAACTCCTTATTCTGCTTCCCTCCAAAGGGGTCGTCGTCGCCGCGCGGGACGATGGGCTTGGGCGGCTCGCAGCAGTACGCCCTCGCGCCGCCAAAGCAGCCGTTCTCGGCGTTCATGCCGCCCACCTCGGTCGCCAGCTTGATCTGGCCGGCCGGGCAGCTGTCCTCGCAGATGAAGTCCTGGCTGAAACGCGGCGGGCTGCCCTTCTTCACCCAGTCGCACTTTGAAAAGTCCGACGGTTTGGGCTCCTGGCAGCAGTAGTGCTTCGTACCCGATATGCACGGCTGCTCGCCTCCCGCGGCGAGCCTGGACGAGAAGATCTTGTTCGGGTAGTCGGACGGGCAGTCCTGGTTGCACGTCGGCGCCTCGCCCACCCACTTGCACATCCCGTAGGACGCGGTGGCCGCCACGTTGGTGCAGCACGCGGCCTGGTGGGAGAAGTTGCAGCCGACGCGCAGCGAGCCGACCTTGACCTCGCCGTCCTCGCACCCGGGCTTGCAGACGCCGCTGTTCCTGTGCCCGCGCCACTCGCAGGTGGGCATCGGCTGGTCGGCGGGGCAGCAGAGCTTGTCGACGCCACCGTCGAGGCAGTTCTCACCGTTGAGCATGATCTCCTTGTGGCCGTTGCGCTGCACCGTCTTGAAGCCGGCCGGGCAGTCCTGGTAGCAGCCCGACCACCGGCACAGCTCCGCGACCTTGGGCGCCTCGGTGGAGGGCAAGGCCGGCACGAACTTGGGCGGGTCCATGACCTTGCGGCCGACGGCGGACGTCAGGGCCTTGATGTTGGTTCCGTCCTTGTCGTCCTGGCTCATGGCCCAGACCATGACGCCAGGGATGCACTGCCCGCGGATGATGTTGGACTTGAGCCTCCACGTCGCCAGGTCGTCGAACGTCGTCCACTGGTCGCCCCACGTCACGGACTTGACGGCGGCCTCGCGGTGCAGCGTGGGCGTGAGGCTATTCTTGCTCACGATGTCGGCGATCTCGGGGTGCAGCAGCACGCCAGTCGTGCCGGAGCACTCGCCTGCGTTGCCTCCGGAGCTAACAACGCATCCGGGGGTG